GTACAGCAGAACAGTTGTTTCAATTTTTAGTGAGTCATTTATTAGCCAAATATAAGCGAGCCTTTGCTCTTTTCTGTCTGCTCTTCGTGTTTTTTTCTCCACCATCTGTAAATACTGTAGTCCTGAATGCAGGGAAGGCTTTCAAGAAAACTGCCAGTTGTATACAAAAGGTGTCACTTTTCTTGCTTCAGATATCAAAGCGCTACAACAGAAAGCACATTTTGTCTTGTGATCAACCTTGTTTGAACTGTCTCCACCAGATGGCAGCAACACAATTTAAAATTCATCACTTGTGTTAACAAGCTTGGGCCAATTTGAATTTCTTCCAGAATTTAAATCTTTACAACAATTGAAAATCAACAACGGTGAAATGAGATCCTAATCAAAACAGATACTTCAAAAGCAAGTTGAACTAGTAACAAGAAAAATCCTATACTGATAATAAATCATCCTACAAACAAGAGTGAACAGTGTCAATCACAGAGATAAGTACAATAATTAGAACAATAAATGGTATCTCATATGTTGCATTTTGAGTTTCATTTCAAGTGAGTTTACAGTCACTTGACTGTAAAGAGTTAAAGAGTTAAAGTTTCATGCAAACCTGCAAAAACATGTTAGATATTATACATTGTAATATCTGTACTGGTGTTTCAACCTTAGCAACTCTTAAGATGTGTGGATTTCAACTCCCAGAATTCCCCAACCAGCAAGGCAGGCTAGGGAGTTCTGGGAGTTGAAAACCACACATCTTAGAGTTGCCAGGGTTGAGAAACATTGATCTATACTGTATGTTGTAACATATAAATTTCCTCCAGGAGATCAAAGCAACATATATAGCATTCCCTTGTTTTTTCCCCATTACTTTGTAGGTGGCTGACCCAAAGTGACCCAGCAAGCTTCTGTAGCTAAGGATAGACTTAGGCCTAATTCTGCGGGACATTCAATACCTTATCCAACCAATCCCTTAACCAGTAGGCCATACTGGCTTGCTATTAATATTCTAGGCTGTTAGGGCTTTGTGGGATTGTTACATGAAGAAATTCAAGACCCCCAAACTAGCATGAAAATAAATGAAAGATCAAATCTTTAAAGAAGGGGAGGAAAAAATACTGGAAAATGGCTAAATGGACAATATATTACCCATGATTCAGTACATGATAAAAAGCTAAATTGATGAGACAAGGGAATGATGGAAGATAGGTGGGCAAATGGTACAGAATTAGAATTTAGGATAAAGCTGCAGGTGGCATTATGATGTTGTCTGTTAGTATATTTGAATTGAATTTTTAAAAAAAATTGTACTGAGAAGTGTTAAAATTATCTGTAGAGTCTTCCAAAGAGTGGGAAGGAAATGGTGCAATTTTATATTTTATTTAATCTTGTATGGTACAAGGAGGGAAGGATTTTTATTAATCTTAAAGCTTTTCATTTCTTCAACCTTAATTGCCTTGTCCAGCATAAGACGTTAGAGTCTTGACCAGGAACTTTCACACTGCCACCACTTAGATATCCCACTGTCTCAAAAGCAGCTAGAAGCTAACTCACAATCACTGTTTTGGTTGCTTTTGAAATGCTGAGAGTGGAAAGCAACTTCAACCTTTTGCTGGTACTGGATGAACAAAGATGCATACCTTGGAACTGCATTTAAAAAAAGTCATGAGGTGTGGGAACCATTGTGGGTACTCCCAAGACCTCAACACTGTGCCATTTCCCCCATTTTATGTCCCCCCCTTTTTTTTCAGTTGGCATTTGCACTCAAGATCTTGAATAGACTTGCCTCCGTTAGCCTTTCTCTGTGCACTGGGTTGCAGTTAAAGTAACAAATGCAGATTCCCACTAATGTTTTTCTGGAGTTAGGTGAATTTGAGTTCCACCACTCATCTGAAAAAGCATTTGCCTCTTGAAGGTATTTTGCCTTTGTTACTTATACACCACTCTCAGGAGTTGCTCCTTGTCTTCCATCCTATCAGCCTCGCTGGGCGCTAGGAACTTATTCTCAGTGGCACACCGACACAAATGACATTCACAGGGTGCAACAACTTATTAGTTTATCTAACCCCATTTTCTAGAGACAGGAAGCTAAAATGTGGTTTGTGGTTCAGTGTGGGGCCCGAAAGTGGCTGCCACCTTAGGGGCGCATTACTGCGGGGATGGGTATCTCGAGGGTGCCGTTTGCGAGAGCAGCAAAGGAAAAGCCCCGAGTTGCGCTCTGCACACCGGACCGAACGGCAGATTTCTGGTCCCGCAGCGAAGTTACTGCGGCGAATGTGCCGCTGCGAATTTGAGGCCACGCTCCGCCCGACTCCGGAAGCAGGAAGCGCCGAGCGCCACTGCTGGACTCGCTTGGACGCGCGTCTCGGGTCCATGTTGGTTCCACGCGACTCGGCCGCCCCGCAGGAGCCGTCTGGGCAGTTCATGGGGTGAGAAGGCGTTCGCGCGCTCGAGAAGCGGGAGAGTCGTCGCCAAGTGTGGACGGAGGCTATCGCCGGGATGGGGAATGATATTTGCAGATTGTGTCACTTGGGGGATCCAGGGAGGGGATGGGGAGGGGTAGGAGATACGCGCGGAGGGGGTAAGAATCAGCTCGCTAGTCCTGCGCGAGGCAAGGAGGGCAGGAGTGGTTGAAATGGCAAATAAAATGACTTTTTGAGGACTCCCGGCTGCTGCCTTGTGGCCAAATGAAATATAGGGCAGCCTGCAAGCACGTATACGCGCTTACTGGGAATGAGCCCCGTTTGAGGTGATAGGGGTTGGCTTCCGAAGAGACATGTCAAGATTGCAGTGTTAGAAAGCAAAAGGGAACCAGGAGGAATGGAAAAATACAAGCCCTTTACCACTGACTGCCAATGGAAGTCAAGGGAAGGAATTTTAGGATGACTATACATCTCAGAAATGGTGACCCTAAATTCATGTCAGAGGCTTCTAACATGGTGTGTGTGTTCTGTACTAGAAACTTGAAAAGTGCTTTGCAGGACGAGGATCTTTTTATATTGACATTGTTTTTTTCATCTGAACAGTGCCATGCAATTGAGGAAAGTTCTAATGCATTAGGTACATAGTGGGGATCATGCAGGTGAATTTTACAAGGCCTTTCCCTTATGTGATGTTACTTCGCACTAGCCTGTACAGAAGCATAAAAATAAATATGTATATAATCTGAATGGTGCGCAGAGTATTTTTAATAAAGGACTCCCTTTAATATCTAGCATAATTTAAATTCTTGGTGCTGAAGTTAGCCCATTTAACTTAGTGCATTTCAGACAGTACAGTACAACAATGTGTTACAGGACTGCAGCAAAGAACATAAAGTGGATTTATTGTAATCTCAGGATCAGCCTCAGGGTCATTCTGTTCTATAAATCTGTGCATTCCAGTTGGTCTTTTTGACATGGTCCTGTAATATATGAAATAGCACTAAATAGCTTGTTTACATTTTAAATATATGTAACAATAAAAAAAACTTATGAGCATCAATAGCAGCTGGCATTAAAAAACTCTGTGGCAATGTGGACTAAGAATCCTCTTGCTTTCCAGATGACACTAGCTTATAGTTGCCATCATTCTTGACTTTGGCCAGGCTGAAGGGGGTCAATATAGTCCAACAATATTGGGTGTGCATGTGTGTATGTACAGAATTTCCTATTTGTGCTGTAAGATTATCTCATGGTACATTTTACCTGAGTGCCAATTTTCTCAATATAGTTGACTTATCAGGAACATTCTGTATTATTTCCCACAAGGAGCAGTCAAGTGCCTGAGTTTTATTGTAAAATAAGCAGACAAGGTAATATTAAATGCTCTAAGTATGTCTCTCTGAGATCTGTATCTATTAGAGGGAGTTGGCATCTAAAGCATTTCAGTTCTCATTGCTTTAGGAATGGTAAGCATGTATGTGCATGGTTTAGTTTAGGTTTTGTTTTTTTTTGGTTTGCTTTCAGAACACATGTGAGTGGCCTGGAATTACAAGATGACAATTCAACAAATAGGGGATAGAGCCTAATACTGCGTGCACTATAGCAGGGCTGAGTAACTCACAGACAACCTGAGAGCCGCCTACTATCCCCAGCACTCTGTTTGCAACCCTGGGACACCTGACTATCATGCCCCCAAAATTCAGTGGCAAAGTGGCCAATTTTCCAACTATGCAATTTTCATTCAACTTTGGGTTTGGAGGCAGTTTTAAGTGTGGGAATAGGAGCACAAGCCTGAGTGAGGCAAAGCATTCCCAAGCCCTCTGTGGGACCTGATGATAGCTCAGGTGGCTGAGTTGTATCTCCAGTTCATAAGAAATTGTCCCCTCTTGCTTTATAGTCTTTTCATTTTTCTATTCCAGCACTTGCTGTAGTGCTCAGAGCTGTTACAGAAGCTGAATAAAGTGAAGCTCATTTTCTTCCTTCCTCATTTCTATATTTTCAGTGTTTTAAGTAAGCAAAATAAGTTAAACAAAAATCTTCTGTTATTTATTTTATTAGATTTATCTCCCCACCTTTCATTCAGGAGCTTAAGATACCATACATAATAACCCCTCACAACAGCCACCCATTATGGATTTTGCAGAGATGATTGTTATTAGCTGTATTTAGAAAATCATTTTGTTTCACTCATTGCATAGAAAAGGAGACTAGAGGCAGAATATAGTCTTCAAAAGAGTTGAAAATATTGTGGAACAGCCATTGTAGGATGTGGTGTATACTTCTGCCTATTTTTACTTCATTTCCATATCTGAAACGCTCAGAGTTCAAGGCATTTCTACTGGAAGTGATGTTTGAATAAATATATATCCACATGAAATGCTGCTCCTGTTGTAATGTTTTTCCCTCAGAAAACAGAATCACATTTGCAGAAGTCACATGAGTCATATCCATATTATTTGATACCCATAAATAGCATATTTTTAAACAAAAGAAATAAAATTTTGTATTACTGCATTTTGTAAAAGTAAATAGAACATTTGACAAAAGCGGGGATGTGGAATCTTACTCCTCTGTGCTTCTCATTTTCTTTGGGAATTATGCTGATGCTGAATTATTAGTACTCTACAAATGCTGCTGCAGGGGCAGATGTCTAGGCCTATGTCTTGTCTTCTCAGCATCGTATGGGGAAGAGTAAGTCAGAAGGTTAAAACAATGATGGAAACATTATTTTGAAATAGTAATGCTGCAACCATTAACATACTGTCCTGTCGTATTGATATCCAGACCATTTTGGTCTTTTTCCCTTCAAAGAAATAAGGTGTATTTTACTCTAGTGCATGATTGCATGGTGTTATCAGACACCAGGACCTTGAAGAGTCCTTAAGAAGGTACTTAATGTTCTAAATATTTTCTCTTCTCTGAAAACATGTTATCAGATTTTCTGTTGTTCAAGCATGGGCTGGTCTTGGTATTAACTGCCGGGAGTACCATAAATAAAGCAATATCCCATGGTAAAAGAAAAAATGATTGAGTTTGAGTAAATGGCACTTTTGTTTGAAACATTTTATGTATAATATTAAGAAATATTCTTCATTTGCATGTTTTGAGTATTCATTGACTAGAGATAGTGTGGATCATATCTGTGTCTGTTAAATTGCAAGCATATATATCATTGCTTTTGCAATAGTGAAATTGCTTTGCATTCCAAAGTTCTGACTCCTACATTTCATTATTTCTTTATTGTTTTTGATAAAGTAGGACAACATCCCATTTCTTTTCTTTGCTCCATATCAACTATTATTCATAGGCATAAAAGAGCTGTAGTGCATCTCTAGAAACTCAAGATAGTACAGTAATTTTCGGTGTGCCAACTCTGTTTAGTATAAACAAAAGAGAACACAAAATTGTAGTTTGATAGTATTTGTTTGTGATTTACTGAGATGAATAAAATGGCTTTATTTCAAGAGTCTAAATGCTGATGCCCTGATTCCATTAATTATAAGTTTGAACAAACAAGGCTTGCTACTCACACAGCCAGATTTGCAGCCCTGCTAGAAAGAACATGCTGTCTTCTTCTGTCACCTTCCTTGAGGCACTGGAATAGCTTCTTTCTTAACTTAATCGGATTTTCCCTAATAGGATTTTTCATCAGAGGACATGGAGCTTTCTGCCAGTGAACTCAGCATTTACGATAAACTTTCGGATACTATTGACTTGGTGAGACAGACTGGTTACCAATGTGGTATGTCTGAAAAGGCCATTGAGAAATTCATCAAACAACTCTTAGAGAAAAATGAACCACAAAGGGGACCCCCACGCTTTCCTCTTTTAATGGTTCTCTATAAGGTAATGCAGTTTTGGATTCTCCATGTCCTTGTAGAAAATGTACTGCATTTTGAAATCTACATAGGATGAAATGCCGTAGTCACAATAGATCTGGTTAGATCCATGGTTCTCAAACTTTAGGGTACTGAGATATGATAAGTCAATTTGTGCAACCTTTCTTTTCCTGTGAATAACACTAATGATTTCATTAGTGTTAGGATTGGATAAGAAAAAAAAAATTACTTATTTTTATTAATGACATGTTAATCTATAGCATCACAGAGGATCTCAAATGTTGCAAAGCTACAGTTGCCTACTGTGGATTTCACAGGCAAAATGAGGAGCAAAGGCCCAGTTGTGTTTTTGATAGTACTCCTGCCATTGAAGCTTGTGGTCAGGTTGACAGAATGAATCTGAGTGGTAAGCCAAAATGAGTTTTTAGCAGTGCCCCCACTTTGCTTGCACAAGCCTGATCAGGTTTGAAAATAAACAAACCAACAAACCAAAGTGACCCGCCCCATGATGATCCCCCAGTGGGCTCTGACCACAGTTTGAGAAACCCCCAGTTAAATAAAAGTTTGCATCAGCAGTCATTTGTGCTATCACATTTATTGTATGGGAGAAATGTTAGAAGGAATTAATAATGCTAATAATCTTATCTTTATCTTCTCTTGCAGGGGTTGGTTACCCTGGGAGTAGTTTTACTAACAGCGTACTTCATGATCCAGCCATATACCCTTTCACCACCTGAAAATACACTTACCAAAACCCATCCATGGGGTTCCCTCATTCATCATATCCGGTTGCTGCCATTACCCATTACCAAGAAATACATGCTGGAGAGTAAGGAAATTATCTATCTATCTATATACTACTAAAACTCTCGTGTCTGTAACCTTCAATTAGGTGAAATGGTGTGTTATAGGACAACAGTTTTTGAATAAGGTACCTCAAATGGGCTAACGTACAGAATGCGACCAAAATCCAGGACCCATTACTCCCATGGGATTGAAATTTGGGGAATTTGTGGCTGCTTTAGCACTGCTGTGCTGCTGAGCCGCTGTGGTCAGCCCAGGTCACCTGATCATCATGAGCATATCCCTGATATCTTTCCTGCCTCCTTCTGTCCCCTGCGCCCAATTGTCTGGTGGCAAGGCCCGATGGGCGAATGGCGATTGGCTGTTTTGGAAATGAGGCAGTAATTTGAAATCTCTTAACAGCTGTGGGTGTTGAGGGAAGGAGGAGGGAGTGACTTGGATACCTGCTGGCAAGGTAGGGCTGGTTGGGGGGTGCTGGCAGTCAGCGGGTGAGCCTTCTTCCTCCCTTGAGGGAGGGGGCCCTGGGGGTCATGCTGGAATGGAGAGCGGGGGTGCAGTATTCCTCACAGTGCATGGCTCCCTTAGTTCTACCTCCCCCCAGCAAAGTGGCAGGCAGTTCCATGGGTCAGCAGAGGAGGAGGAGGAGGAGGAGGGTTCACCAGGGCTCTCCTGAAGGTCATGAGGGGAGGGCAAATGGTGCAAGCCTATATTATATGTGGGGAGGAAGGAAGGGAGGGAGGAAGGAAGGGGAAGGAGGAAGGAAGAGGGAGGGAGGGAGATTTCTGATGCTCCCTGCCAGTTCCTATAAGCAAAGTCAGTAGGGAAGCCAGCAGCAAGTAGCAAGTCGCTCACACTCCCACTGCTTTTTTGCCCTTGGTCATTCTGTTTCTCTGTTTACATAAGGAAATATCTCTGAAACATTGACCTAACGGGTCATGAGTTGTCTAGTATACTACTAAAACTCTCAAGTCTGTTTGTAACCTTTAACTGGGCAAAATGGTGCATCATAGGCCAACAATTTTTGAACCAAGATACCTCAAGTGGGCTAACTTATAGAATGTGTCCAAAATCCGGGACCCATGACTCCCCTGGAATTGAAATTTGGCAAATTTTATAAAACATATTATGACATAAAAATTATCATAAAACATTTTATGACATAATTCAAAATGTCATAAAACATTTCCTGTGATCAACCCTTATGTTTGACTGTGCTGTACAATGCAATATTAATGAATCAGAGTGCTCTACTGGTAACACACACAATAAATGCAAATGGCATAAAGAAACAAAAATCACTATTCGGTTCTCCATTTTTAAAATAACACTGTGTTCTGCTTTTTGTAAAAAGCAAAAGGAGAATAACTGTTAAAGTCAAATCTGCTTGCACTAAGCACCTCTTAATTCTACCACACTCTTCTTTTTGTAACAAAACTTAGCAAATTAGCTCCAGTGACCATGTTCTGATGCTGTGTGTACTATACAGTGTGGCAATCCATTAAGGTGCTTTTCCTTATGCTAAAACTATTTTCTGACTGGTTTCAAAAGGATAAACAGAGGCTCCTTTTGAGGATTTATACATTTAGGTGTGTTGACTTATTGATGAGTAACTAGTTTAATTCAGTTCTGCATTTTAGAAGAGTGGAACCTAACCTGTTATTACTGAAATCTTGCATAATGAATTTGTATCTCTCAAATTTATGCAGAGTTACACTTATGCCATTTCTGATCCAGTTTGTACAAGAAGTTAAAAAAAAAGAAATAACTTTAGAAAGGTTACATTTTCAGTATGTTATACTCAAGCTTTATTTATACATAGACTTGAATAGACTTGATTTGGTAGTTACTTTATGTCCTGCTTTTCCTGAAATAATCTCCCTCTCTCCAGCCAACTCCAAAGCACAGTTCTTTTTTTTTTTCCCCTAATGGATGTCAGTATAATTGAGAGACTAGCAGTGGAAGCTTTTCCTGATATGTTTTACTTATCACACAGTTTTAAAAAAAATTATTCTGGCATGTCTATTCGCAGGTTTAATGGAACACAAGAAACATTATATTAATTTTCCTGGCAATTTTATCAAGCTTTCAAGTCCTGGAAAACTTGGTTTTCCACCATTCTTGTTTATGCATATGGGTAAATTATATGATCACTGTAGTATAACTTCACTGTACTACTGTTTACCAATGTGTATAAACAGGTTAATTTTGGAGAGCTGATGTGACATTTTCCACTTGGCAACATTTAATTTGTACTTGGACCATGACAACTAAGTCAAAGGGTTCAGAAAGAGGATCTGTCCAAGAAGCAATTAATTGCACTGGGAAGCAGGTGATCTACTTTTCAGTGATTGAAATGTACAAGGAAGGCACTGTAAAAACAACTTGGAATAAATTAGTCAACAGTTTTCATTTTTTGTAAGAAGGTCATAACACTGATATAATAAGCCACCAAGATATAGTACAAACATGGGTAAAACTGTCTGAATTGAACATAGCTGAAAAGTCATTACAGCTATAGTGCCTTCTCAATTAGGATAAATAGAAACATTATTATTTTAGAATGTTGCATTCACACATAATCAGGGAAAAAGTTTATTCCTAGGAATATTGGCCACTTAAACCATCACAAATCAGAAAAAAAGAAGTTTCCTCCTCTCAGTGACTCACTTGAATAGGATTACATTCTGTATCATAGTGGCACTTCTATGGACTTTTGATGTTTATAGTAATAAAAAATGAACAAACACACACTGGATTCTGGTTTGTATCTTTTCCTCCAGAAAAGGTACCCTAATTGGTTTCATACTTTCTATTTCTGGAGCCACTCTCTAAATGTATTGAAGATAAATGTGTTCAAATCACTTCTGTCTTTAAAGGAGAGATTATTTGTTACATGAAAAGAGAAGAAGAATTCAACTTCGACTGTGCAATTCCAGCTGCCTGCTTAGAAAGGTAGGGTGTATCTGGAATTGCACAGAAGAAGAAGAAGCTATATCGTACTGTTTTATTCTGTTCTGTCTGCTGTTGATTTGTTGTATTCTAGTCAGTGACTATAATAAAGAACTAAACTAAGAGAGCAACTTTGAAGGAGAAAAGGGCAGTATGAAAAATGTTAAGTAAGTTACTTGTCTGCTTGAAGGGACAGCCCTCCTTATCACTTTTCATTCAAGCAACATACAACACTCGGGTCATTACACATGTTTATATGTAAAATATACCACTTAAAGTCTAATTTTTTAAATCATGTCTTGGAAGGAAATTCTATTTTGTTCATAGAGACATAACACTAGTAGGCATATCAATGATTGCAGCCCAAATGAACTATTCTTATTAATACCTTGTTTTTTTGAGAAATGATTTTCCCTCTCGTGTTGTTAGGTGAGAAGTGACATCAGAGATGATGCGTAGTTCTGTATATTAAGGCAATGATTTTTCAGGTTGTCTCAAGGGTTAACTCATTCCTTATTGAACAGCATTCTTACCGTAGGCGTATGCAGCTGTTTCTCTTACATGTTATGTGAATAATCTCCTTCAAGAGTGTGGTAGAATTCATAGATCTTATTTTGTGATATAAATAAATGAAGAGGTTAATAGAGAAAAATCTGTTCCCTCAGCTCTTCTTAGATGTTTTCAAAATTATCTGCCACAAAGCATTTAATAGTGTTTGCTGTTATCCATCACCAAGATACTTAGTAAAAGGTCAGAATGTTTTAACTCAGTTTGAACTGGAGAGTAAATTATTGTTCTCCATTTTCATTCTGTGAGCTTCTCGGAAGAAGCTGCTGCTTTGTTGTAAATTAGCATTATATGGAGATATTATAGCCATCTCTGAAAGAAACAGCATGGGAGAAGTCACTTCATAGCTGCTACAAATGCTGTTGTTTTCTTGCCATTAATATTTGGGTTGTGTTCAAGTTAGCAGAAAAAAGGCAGGATTGTGTAATGCCTGAAGTGGGAGCTCCCTTTGTTATATTTTCATTGTCTTTGAACATCCCATCAAAAGTGTTGAAAGCTCAGTGGTCTGGAATCAGAAACCTTGGGTGTCATCATCCAAACTGGTTGTGAAAAGTGTGGTCAGTCTAATTCATTCAGGGTGTCAGAATCAGAACTGCAACTTGTATTTCAGGTCTCTCCTTTGTTTCTGGGGAAAAAGGCCCATCCTTCTATCACATTTAAATGTGTTTCAGTTGTGGTGATGCCCACATGCTGTTAATTTTATAAATCCCAAAGAGAAATAGACTTGTTTGAGGACTTAATTTAAACTTTAAAATGTGAGGACTGAGACTTGATTTTGAAGGTGTCCTTTAAGATCATATGCCAGCAGTATTTCTGAATTGCTCTGATACAGCAGATACAACCCAGAATCAATTACGTATTTTGACATGCATGCACCTCCCTCAGTGAAATTGCTTGGAAAATGCAAAACAGTAATTGTCAGGTGAAAAATAGTGTTGGCTCCCAACAAAACAGTCTCAGATATTTTTAGAGGTGTCTGATTTAAAAGGATGTGGGAAAGTGCCAGTGAAGCATTTTACATTGGCCCATGAACAGAGTTCCTTGTGGGCAGTAAGCAGTAATTGAAATCTGAAGGATTGTGGTTTGAGAGGAGTTAAGAGTGGTTTTTGTTTTTGTTTGTTTTTGCTTTTTTGTTTTGCATTTCAGAACCCTTGAACAATACTTCCAAGTCCTAATTTATGAGCAAGGGTGGGGTCAGCAATATCTATTCAGCTGGAAAAGTTTGGAGCAACAATCTTTTTCTTTGGCAGCTGCCTTTAGCCTGAGGTGTTTGACTCCCTGCCAGTTTCCAGGGCCTTCTCCTACTAAATTCATTTAGATCATCTCAGTTAGTTCTGCTCTAGAACATGCACAGAGATTCCCATTGCAAGTGAATATGTTCTTTCTAAGACCCACCAGGAAATAATATTGCCCCAAGAGAACCTTGTCCTCTTGCATAAATCCAGCTGCAGCATCTTCTACCACTCTGGTGTGAACTATAGCCTGATGCCTCAGAGCTCTCATCAGGGT